TCTATTTCTTTCTTTAATGTGTTATAATAATTATTTACTAACAATTGTAACCTATTTTTTCTTACTGTTTGTAATAACTGTCTTTGATTTTCAACCAAAAAACTGTTTGTTTAAATTAAATCATCAAAAAAATTTTTATCTAGCAAATTTGATAATAATGATTTATTTTCAATTTGTTTTTTAATACGTAAAAAATCTATAGCACCTTTTAGTGATTTAATTTTTTGATCCTGTATTAAATGTAATTTATTTTTCTTTTTTTGATTAATATATTTTGTTTTAAAATCTATTTCTTCTTTGATATCTACTTCTAAATTGATAATCGAATTTTCTTTTTCAATCTTTTTTTTTATATTTTTAAATTCTTTTTCTTGTCTAAAATTATCACTTTTTTCTTTTATTTAACTATATAATATCAATTTATTATTAGCTGATATATTTGATTCTGATATCTCTTTATGTAATCCTTGTAAAATAGATATTGTAATAGTTTGTTGAATAGCTTTTTTGTAATATTCAAAAAGATTTACTTGTAATAAATTTAATCATTTATTTCGATTGTTCTGTAAAATTTTTTTTGTTGGTTTATTAAATCTGAATCTTGTATCAACTTATCAAATTTATTATTTTCAATTAAATCAAAAATTTTTTCTTCTTTTTCAATTTCATTAAATATTTTTTCATATAACTTCTGTTTTCTAAGATTATGTAATTTATTTTTATCATCTTGTTTTAAAATTGAATTATCTATAAGATCTTTTATATCATCATTTGTTTTAATTGAATCTGTTATTTCTTCTTTTATACTATTAAATATATTTTTATCATTTATATCATTAGATTCTTCTGGTATAATATTCAGTGGAATTAAAATTGGAACAGATGGTTAAGAAATTAAAATTGGTTTTTGTGGAATTGAGATTAGAACAGATAATCTTGCTTTTTCAATTATTGTAAGCATTAAATATTCATTTATTTTTTCTTCTTTGATTTTTATAATATTTTGTTTTTTATATTTTTTAGCATAATAATTAATATAATCTTTGAAATTATAAACACATTTGCAATTTTGTAATTTAATCATTTTGTTTTTATTTGTAAAAAAAAAAGAGAAAAATATTTGTATTTATATTTATTATAAAATTAATAAAAAAATAAAATAAAATAAAATATTATATTAAAAAATTAAAGTTTCTCTTCCCCATCTTCTGCTTTAACAGAAAATTTAGGTATTTTATCTATTATTTGATCTGCAACCATTTGAAAAAATGCTTGAATACTATTAACTTGTGTCAAATCTGGATGATATGCTATATCAATACTTCCACCTAAAATAAAAACTGGATAATCAGAATCATATTCACCAAATGTATCTTCTAACTTAATTTTATCATTTATATCCATATTAGTATCTCTAAAACGTTCTTGATATATCTAATCCAAATAATTAATCACAATTATTAATCTATAATTAGCAGTATCATAAACTATATTTTCATCTGTATTATTAGATATTTTACATGTTTTCTGTTCTTCTTTTAAAAATTTTCTACATATTACTATTTCATGTTCGTTAAAAACGCATTCTGTTGAACAATTAATTTGTACACTATATTGTAATAATATATCATAATTATCTTTCAACTGATGATTTTTTATATCTCTAGGTTGTTTCAAAATATCTTCTATTGTTAAATCATTTTTTTTTGCTGTTTCAAGATCACATACTCTAACAAGATAAAGATCAATCTTAAAGGGTGATATTAATTTTGTTAGATTTGTTTCATTTGAAAGTCGATAAGTTGATTCTAAAGTAAATAGATGATAAGAAACAAGTTTCAAATATAAAGAAAAATTTAATAGATTTAAAGATTTAAATATTTTCTCTTGTTGTAATAAATGATATACATAGAATCTTTTATCAAGAGCAATAAATCCATCATCAAAATTGACTTTATCAATTAAAGAACTGGATGGTCTAGATATTCCACAGACATTGTAATCAACAATATTTCCACATGTTCCTACCGAACATATTTTTCTTTTTTTTGTTGTCATATTATCTGATATTTACGTTCACGACCAATACAATTTGTTTTTGATATAACTTTAGATATTGTTTTTTTAGATGATTTTTTTGTTTGAACCCTTTCTTTTTGGTTCGATTTTGTTTTATTTGTTGATATTTTTTTCTCTTTTGATTTAAAAAATTTTTTAGATTTCTTTCTTCTTGCCAGTTTGATTAAATGTTTTCGATTGTTTTTATTATTTTCTTTAAAATTTGACAAACCAATGTAATGATAGAATCGAAAAATAAATTATAATTTGGTTGATATATAGAATATATAATTGATATTTCAATTACTATTGATAAAAATAAAAAAAATGCTAACTAATAAAATGTAATCTTCTATAAAAAGAAGCTTCTATTAAAAAAAAAAAATGAATAATGAGACTATTTATACTATTTATAAAATTCTTCTTTTAGCTTTACTTCTTCCAGAATCATCATCACTATCTTCTTCTCATTTTTTACGAGCTCCAACAATCGCATCTGGAATACCAGGTGGTAAATCTGTTCTCGACACTACATTAATTTTAATCTATTCTGCAAATATCATTGCTAAATATTCTTCTGTTTTACTTTTATACTAAAAATAATTATCATCATCTATATTAGCTGAAATGTAAACATTCTATCTATCATATAATCTTTTTGCATCATCAACTATTTTAGTCGCAGCAAAACCAGCATGTATTTGTTGAAATATCTATCTAACATGATTTAATCTTCTTACTATTATATCTTCTTCTGTATTTGGTTTAATGTTATTGGTATTAATATAGTTTGAGTATATTTGTAAATTATTTGTGGATTCGTAGGAACTCTTTTTAATATTTTTTTATAATACAATGTCATACGATATAATTGTGTCATCTGTTGATAATTATTTGGTAATATACTCCAATCAAAATATTGTATCACTTGATCCC